TTTTATTTAGTTCTCGGCGGACACAACATCTTTGTTGGTATGTGGTGCTGAGGATCGAACCCGGGCTGCACGCATGCCAGGCGAGCGCGCTACCGCTTGAGCCACATCCCCAGACCCTGTCATTTATTTTTAAATAAATAAATAAATAAATGTCATAGGGCTTCTACCTTGGTGGAGCCCTGGCATTTTGGGGGCTCATTGTCATATTCTATTATGTGACTTGGTCAAGAGACACAGCCAGAGAGACAGGAAGTTAGTAGAGAGGTTGTAAAGAGCAAGTGTGAGATAAGGAGCAAGGCAGGAATTGTTCACTTTCAAAGTTTATTAATGGACAACTCTTCTCCACTAGGTGGACACTCACTGACCTATCACAAGGTTGCCCTGCAAAACTTTGGGGTCCATGTCTGAATGGATTGCTGTAGCCTTCTCATCTCTCCCTTCGCCCAGTTCCCTGCATCCTAAGACTCGAAGCCAGGACAGGACCTGGAAAAATTATATGTAAGTTTTGACTAAGGTTTCTTTTCCTTAACCAAACAATATAAAAGTTTTCTTAGGTAATAGTAACAAATAGCTTAAGCAAATATGTATTACCTTTGTTTTAACAAAGTGTCATGAGAGTTATAATTGAGGAAAAGAGCAGGGGTTGGAATCTCCATGTTAGTGGTTCCTTAACTCAGTGGTTTTTAAACTTTAAGCTTGCATTAGAATTACCTAGAGGGCTTGTTAAATTACAGATTGCTGGGCCTCACGCCCAGAATTTCTGATTCAGTAAATCTGAATTCTACTGAATTCAAGGTCAATGCCAGAAATTTTCTTTCCAACAGTTTTCCAAGTGATGCTAGTGTAGCCAGGTCACGGACTCCACTTTGAGAATCACTACCTTAACTCAAATGTGACTGGAAAGATGAATGATAGATATAAAACTGTGACTTTAGTATTAAAAACTATTAAACTATTAAATATGAAAACTTTACTTAATGCATTGACACATCTCAACAAAACATTTTAGGGTCTACTCAGGACCTTCACACTTGAAAATCCAACCACATAGTTGCCATTACTCCCTGCCAGCCTTCCTCCTACTGGTCTCAGTCATTCTTTGCCCTTGGTTTTCAAATGATGTGACTAATGGTGTGTTATTAGTCTAAAACAATGACTGCAGTCCTTCAGCAGGTGTGCTCATCATGTTTTTAGATACACTCAAAAAGAGAAATCTTTTTTCCCCTGGATTGGGAATGTATTGTCACCTTTCAAACTAAATCATCATTGTATTATTCCTCCTTCGTACACTGAAGTCTGACTTGATTTCCAAAACACATTCAAGGGAGACAACATCTCCAATAAATACCCCAAGTCAGCAATTTCAGGTTTCTGTGGGGTCTAAGTTCCCAGGACTGACATGTTTTGAGGATTGGCTTGTATGTTAGCTATCAAACAGGCCAATCACCTGTCTTCCAAAGATAAGAATTATTTATTCCATGATAAAAGAAAGAAGTAGGAGAGTTTGTTTAAATAAATGCACACTGGATATATACACACAACTATACACATGTGAATGGATATGTATTTTACATATTTCTGAGCTTTCATTTTAGGAATTGTTTTTCTTCCTTTCTTTCTTTTTTTTTTTTTTGTGTGTGTGTGTATGTGTGTGGTTCTGGGGATTAAATTCAGGACCTCACACATGCTTTGCAAGCACTGTATCACTGAGCTACATCTCCAGCTCCCATTTTAGAAATTTTAAACATTTTTTTCTTTTCCTTCATTGAGTCAATATGAATGTAAAAATAGTATGACTGATGCTGTCCAGGAAAACATTCAAGAAATTACTGGGCATTTTAAATCTGTGGATAAAGCACTGTGATTTATAACATTTTTCTTGGATATGGTAAATGTTATCATTCAAAGCAGTACTCAAGATTTACAGTTCTTTTATTATAATGCTCTAGAGTGGAGAATAATCACTGTTTGTAAAGCAATTGCCAAGCAACTATGTAATGAAAGAGCATATCTATCTTCTAAACATTAATGGAACCCCAAATCCCAGAAATAGGTCAGGAAGAGAAGACAAAAAGTGATAGGTGGTGGAATACTCTAGAGTGGAATTAACCCAGAGCTGTCTTCTAGGGTGGCCCAAAGGATGAATGAGCTGGTATAAGGGATGACAGAGTTGAGAGTGATAGAGTTAGTTACTGTATCCTTACAAACTTTACCATCTCAAGAGGGGTGGGAGGGAAAGGGAGGGAGAAGGGGAATAGCATGGATGGTGGAAGGAGACCCTCATCATTATACAAAATACATATATGAAGATGCGAATTTGGTGTCAACATATCTTATATACAAAGATATGATAAATTGTTGTACAAAGGTGTAATAAGAATTGTAATGCAAATAATAATAATAGAGCTCATGTAAAAAAATAAATAAATAAAAATTTTAAAAAAAACTTTACCATCTCTATCAAGTGCTAGTTATTCCATATAGCATTTGGAAGGAAAGTTGTCAGTTTATGAAGCATCTTCACTATGAAGTGAAAGAAGGACTTGGATCAAATGTCCCTTGTGTTGCTCCTGCTTTGCCATTCTGTGAACCTCCCTGTTTACACATCATGCTTTCCTGTAGAGTAACCTGTGCTTATGGAGGGAAGAAGGCCGCTGTGATTCCTCAAGTGAATCTGGGTTTTGGTTTCCAGCCTGGATCACTCCCTCCACTTGGGCAGGGCACTTGGCCTCCAAGAACCTGGAGTGTCTCTGTAAAACTCAGTACTGTAAACCTAAAACTGCTCTTAAAGTATATTAATTTTAAAAAGCTGAATACCAGACAGTATGGCAAACCCCAAAAATATTGAACAGAATTACCATATGATCCAGTAATTTCACTTCTGGGTACACACTCAAAAATGAACATAGGAATTTGAATGTATAACTTACACACTCAAGTTCATAGCAGCATTATACACTATAGCCAAAACCTGGGAGCAGCTCAGATGTCCATCAACAGATAAATGGATAAATAAAAATTATTCAGCCTTAAAAATATGTGAAAATCTGATAACGTTACCATACACATGAACCTTGAAAATACTAAATAAGGCAGATGCAAAAAGGACTATTACATGGTCCCATTTATATGAGGCATCTAGAGTTGCCAAATTCAGAAGCAGAAAGTTGAATTGTGGGTGTTGGAGACAGAGGAATGGGGAATTGTTGCTTAATGGATATAAGGTTTGAGTTTGGAAAGATGAAAATGTTCTGGAGATGGATGGTTGCACTAAAATGTAAATGTACTTAATGTCACAAAACTGTATATTTTTAAATGATTAAAATGAAAATTTTTTGTTACTTACGTTTTACCACAATTTTTTTTTTTAAACCCAAATCCCATGACTCACCTTCACTCAAGAATGCTGTGCACAATCACTAATTCATTCTTGGTGGTGACTTTGTAGTTTGTGAGGGGGGAATAAAAACAGACCATGACACCACTCACCCCTCTTTTCCTGTTACCTTTTGGGCAATTTCCAAAGATGGAAAAGGTAAGGATCTGCTGAGCAGGATACCTCAGTCTTAGGAATGGGTTTCCCATTGGAGTAAAGATACACCTGTGGGAAACCATCAAGGAAATTTGCCATTAACATCCGTAGTCTCTACCAAAATCCATTTACACACAGAGGAAATCTGTCACCTATGATCCTTTCACAGGGCTGCTCCTGTTCTTCCAGCATGTGTTCATAAACTGGTTCAATCCCAGAGCACGGTGCCAACAGTGCCACAGAGCTGTGTGCTCAACTGTGGCTTATGACAGGCCTTGTTCTCTGGAGGAGGACATATAGGGAGAAACCAGTGAATGAGGACTTGTCACAAGAGTCCACATAGTAGAAAAGGAAGGCTTTTAGAAATTAACAGTGGTGGGCTCCCCACTATGGGGCTTCCGATTTTTATGATGCCTCTTTACAATGTCCAAATGAAGTATAACTTATGCATCATCATCAACTCTTTACACTACTGAGAACAGGCAGCATTGGATCCATAAGCTACAGAGCAGGTCAGTGGGTGGCCTGCACCCCTGGGGCCAACATGAAGGCTGAAACCCACCAGAATAGTCCATTGTACCCTACTTTTCTTGGTTTTTGCTTTAAATTCAATGTTTCTAGAAAGCTGACCTTGAAAAACATCCAATAGTTCTCATCAGGCCTAGTAGCCATATTTTCTTCAGAAATCCTTCACTACGGTCAGGCTATATCCTTGTGGCTGACCAGGAGTAGGAGTCATGAGGCATAGTACATAAGGATCCATGGTGTCAAAAAACTGAGAAATTGTTATCCTAAATTATCCCACCTTCTCCTTAAGATATCAAGATTGTGTGTGTGTATATATATATGCACTCATACATGTGTATGTTTGGCTTAAGGAATTTGTATAATCAAAACAGAGGTGAAATGATGTCATTAAAGTTAAAAGACACATATATGTATGTATGTATATGTAGTCATTCCCCTCATTCTCATGCCGTACTTTCCAAATCTGCTGCTTTACTTAGGTAGTAGAGACTAGGACAGAGCAATGGAAGTTTTGACTCACTTGCTATGATATCAAAAAGAAAATTGAATGAAAGGTTTTTGTAGAAAAGAAAACTCAGATCAGCAAGTCTAAGGGACACAAAAATAAGGGCTTATTCATCTCTAACGTCCACACGGACCTACCAACATCCTATGCTTGAGTTGAAATGACATAGATTTAGAATCCAATCAAAATAAATGTAGTCCCATGAGTTCAAAGACCATAATTTGAGGATGGACACACTGATGCACACTCAGACAAATGATACAAGATAAAGAAAGCCAGCAACGACAGACCCTTGGGGACCCTTCCTGTGGACCCTCGTGTTTCTGAGGAATCAGGTGAGCCTAGTTTCAGATGCCAAATTCATGTTTACTGATGGCTTAGCTACCTGGAATCTGACTAACCAGAACCTGAATTAACTAACCTTCATATTCACCCACACCCACCCAGCCCTTCCCACACACCCCACCTTACCACACACACCCCACTTCCCTTTTTCAGAGACAAAACTCAGAAAACAAGATCGCTTTGGTTTTCAGTGAAGGGGGAAACATACCCTGGAGGATATTTGTAGCTGATCACAGTGACATGCTGAATCATTGAGAATGTTCAAATGTTTCAAAATTAGGAAAAGAAACTGCTTTGGAAAGCTCTTTAACAATAAGCATTTTCTAGTTATGGATTAACCAGAAAATCAAAACAAAAAAACATCTTCTTGTCCTCCAATAGTCTAGTTAACTGAAATTTTATTATACCTACTATTGTCCCTCAATAATAGTCTAAAAATGTTGACCAAGAAAAACGTAACATTAATTTTTATTCTTCTTGAGAAACTATGCACTTTTTGCCTTTTACCACCTTTCCAGTGCTGTACTTGTGTAGGAAATATCTAGACGTTGTGATATCATTAGTTTTAAGAGTAACATAAAATAATTT